TGCATCTCTGTTCCTAAGGTTCAAATTGTCCACAGCTGTAAGCTGAGTTAGGCGTTTGAAGTAATTCATCACTAGTTCTTTGCCCAATCTACTCTGAAGTTTGTGAGCAAAGGTATTAACTTCTTCGTGTATAAGACTGTGCTAGTTTTGTACAAGTCTAACAGCTTTTTAGTACACCCAGCAGGGAAGGGAGATCGTATTTATTCACTTCAAAGAGTCATTCCTTTGCCTCCCATCTTTGTCAGCTCCTGAGGAGCTTAGACATTGTAACCAATCCTTTCTTCAGGCAAAAATTAGCTGGCAATGAGGATAAGTTTGACAGTTTGTCAATGTTATAATTGTCAGGTTGTATTATACTTTTTATGTTTACCAATGCATTTGATATAGTTGTTTTGAAAATAATTGAGGAGGCAATTGATGGTTCCCTTTGAGCTCTGTAATAGTGAGCTACATAAGAAATATTTTGATGGTTTGAGTCAGCAGTGGTTATGGAGAAAAGCATATCCATTAAGCTAAGTTTTTAAGCACTTTCCTAATTGAAAATTAGTATTTTACTGGAAGTGAAGATCTTGCCCTCCCAGCAAGGGAGGCAATTTTAACAATGTTTCAGTCTTGGAGAACATTTAATTTACTTTCATAATCAGTAGTCCATAGGAATGATGTTTTTCTTTTCCTTTTGCCTTGTATAATCCTATTATTTTACTAAAATGTGAACATCTGTGGAAAATATGCTAGCTTTTAGAAGATTTTTTTTAATTGGTTCCATTTGTATGCCATCAGGCAGTTCATTAGAAACTATTGAAAAACTTTTACATAAACAGTAGATTTCAATAAATAGTATAAATAGTAAATAAATAGTAGTTGTCAGTACTGTTTCCTACTACTGTTCAATGATATCTCAGTTGATACTGAGAAGGACATGTTGAAGTCACTTCTATTAAGGTTTGTAAAGAAATGTCAACACCCTTGTTTATCTTACACAAATATAAATCAGAGTTGTTTAAGGTGAGTTTTTCTCTACTCTTTCCTTGGATTCTCTCTTGTAGGTCTTGGCCAATGTTCAGAAAGGAATATATTTTTTTTCCAGGTACACTAGGCAGCTCTCACAACTCAGACAACCTTACAGTTCCCGGCCAGCAGGGATACAGTGAATCTCCTCAAGTGCTGGAGTCGTCCTCTCTTTATAGGTTGCTGAATCTGGAAAGCTTTGGTAAAACTTTCGTATCCAGGTCTAGCTGGAGGAGCTGACTTGACACTTTGTCTAGGTCACTGCAATAAAACAACCAAATGTCTCTACATAGCAAATACGTTTATATGGCTGTTGCTGAATCTTTGGAGAGATTTTCTTCATTATGCTGTTGCCTGAGTTGTGAATGCAAAACCTGAGGCCTTGGTTCATGACATGTTTAAACAGGCAAGCTCTCAGATGGGAGTACACTTCCTATTGTCTTTATCTCAGTTGTCCAATTAATCTTTAAGATGATGCAAAAGGAATTTTTTTGCTTAGAGGGTTACAAATGTTAAGACTACAGTGTTCTTTACTGAAAATAAGGTTTTCTTCATCAGTTACATTCCTCGGTGTTATTCTGCAAATGTTAGATTGCTTCAGTCTTCTCCATGCTTGCGTGGCAAGTGAAATTAGTTGAAGGGTCTCTCTTGAAATGAAGAAGAGGTGGTTGTTTAATTGCCACTACAAATGTTAAAAGGTCTGACATGATTTAAGAAGAGTGTCTGAGAGAGCAGGGGTTATTTAGTGTGGAGGATACTCAGGGGAGACCTTACTGGTCTCTACAGCTACCTGAAAGGAGGTTGCAGTGAGGCGGGGATCAGTCTCTTCTCCAAAATAACTATCAGTAGGACAGAGGAAATGGCCTCGAGTTGTGCCAGGGGAGGCTGAGGTTATATATTAAGAAAAATTTCTACACGGAAGGAGTGGTGAAGCATTAGAACAGGCTGGCCAGGGAAGTGGTGGAGTCACCATCCCTGGCAGCGTTCAAGAAACATGTAGATGAGGTGCTTAGGGACATGTTTAGCAGGCAGGGTGGTGATAGGTTGGACTTTATGATCTTGAGGGTCTTTTCCAACCATTATGATTCTATGAACATACAGAAGAAGGGACCAACAGATAGTAAAAGTACATCTATATATTTTCAGAAAACAAATGGCAATTAGTTTCAAGCTAAGGTTGTTCATTTATTTTTTACCAGTTATTTGTGCTCTCTGTTGCAACCTCCTTTTAATATTTTCACTGAGGTCATGGACATTTTGAGCTGAAGATTTTTAGTTTTATACTTAGAGCACATTGCTCATTGCCATGTCTATGAACATAATATTGTAGTGATAATCATGTGCAGACAAATCACCTTAGGACAAACGTTTTTGTCAAACTGACATGCAGGGATTAAAGCCTTTGACTGGAGAAAAGTCAACTTACTTGTTTTAAGAATGGAGTTGGGAAGGAGAAAACGAGGGGACTTTCTGAACAACTAGGATTTCCTAGTTTAACCTCAGCAATGTGCAAGGTCATTCTTTTAGGCAGAGTACCCTAAAATATGGGCACACTTGTTCATAGTAACATGAGATTGGCAGTGCATCTGGTGTAGCATGTGAATAGCAGAAGCTGTGCTCTTTACTGCTGAATGCAGGCTTTGCTATCTTTCCTATGAACGTGGCCCACAAGATTACAGTATGGAAAGAACTGAGCAATCCACTTTCCTCTTCAAATCTGACAGGACCTACAACGTGCATCCTCATTCACCAAGTCCTTGCAACAAGGTCAATAACAAAATTATTCAAGATGAAAGCACACACAAAATGGAATAAAATGTAGAACTAGTGATCTGTGATGAAAGCATAGCAGAATGACTTATTCATTGTTGCTCTTTTTAAAATAATAGCGGAGTTTGGATTGTCTTGATTGTCTTTCAGCATAGCACTTGAAAAAGAGGCCGCTGGAAAATTTACTTTAGCCAGAAACTATCATATCTTCCTAAAGAGACTACACAAGGCCATTTTGAAATAGGAATTCTCATCTTTTCTACAGGGAAAATTATGCCATGGTTTCTCCTTATAGTGTTGGTGACACAAAATTGTTGGGGACACAAAACTGTATGTTTTGTCAGCTCTGAAGAATGGATTGCTCAGTCCTTTCTATATGCTAATCTAATGGGCTAGAGTCATAGGCATGATATTAAAGCATATATTCACAGTCAAGAAAACTGGTTCTGCTATTTTATGTGCTTCAGCAGTTGCATTGCTCATCTGATATGCAAGACTGATTAAAAAAAGTCTAAGGAAAGTGTGAGTGTCATTGTAAAGGCTGGTAACAGCTCACATTGTATTTTAAGTGCACTAAATATACTTACTTTTTAAAAGTAGAATAGATAAAAAGAGGGCTGGTAAGATGATTAGAGAAATAATAACAAAAAATCAGGCTCGTTTAACTTGGCAAAATGAAGACTGAGAAAAAAAAAAAGTGATTTAATAAATGCCTTTGGGTATTTTTTCTACCTCCCTTTAACTGGAGTCTTGCACAAAATCAATGATTACTAGATTATGCATAAATATAGCTGGGAGCTTTTAATGTTTCAACATGGAAGATGAGTTTTGCAGCAGGCTAGGGCAAAGAAGCTATTACTTCAAGGTCTAAGTTGGTATACTTGGGAACAGATACTAAGCTCAAGGAGACTTTCAAGGGCAGAACTTGATAAGATTTGGTTGCCACTATGGATTTTTGTTTTTACTGTATCTGTTGTGTAGTTCTTTAACCTCTGTTTAGAGGGTTTTTTGTTTGTTTGTTTTTTCTGCTCTGACCAGGTTCACGATTTGGCTTCCGCGGTCACAGTTTAGGCCTAATTTGGGGGACCAGGAAAGCACTTCCATCACGCTTGCTTAGGAAGACACTGCTGGAGCCTCTTCTGCTCTGAGGCAGCAGCGTAGAGGCTGGAGGGGCGGTACCTTCCGTTACGGACAACGCGGGGACCCGCGTAACCGTTCTAACGGACCCGCCGGGGCTGCTCTCCCACTCCCTGCGC